TTTGTTTCAATTACTCGGCCCATTTGAATTATTTAAACCATCTCCTTTGAATCTGTTTTGCGGCCAGAGATCCGAACAAATAAAATAGGACTGTAGAGTGATGCTGTCTGCAGTTCAGCAGATGAATGTGGAGCGTGTGATTGATAGTGTTACTTTTGCTTAATTCTTGGTGGTGGTGGCTGGCCTCTGCAGAACGGGTGTGGTTTCTGTGTCTGGATTAGTTATCGGTGCCCCCCGCCACCGGCAGGCTGCTGGACCCCTCCAAAACCGGATGCTAGAACGTCAGGCTTCATCTCCGTAACCCATTCCTGAGGTTCAAGGTTAGGTGGGGATTGAGAAGACTCCCTTATGTGTGACCACAGAGATCCCCTGGGGGTGGGAAGTGCCGTCAAGTCTCAGCTGATTTATGCTGTCCCTGTAGGGTTCTCAAGGCAAAAATGGTGGTTTGCCATTGCCTGGCTCTGCGTAGCAATTCTGGACCTCCTCGGAGGTCTCCCATCCAAGTCCTGACCGGGGCCAACCATGCTTAGCTTTCGAGATCTGATGAGATCAGGTTAGCCTGGGCCATCCAGGGCAGGGCCGTAGATCCCTGGGGATGAATTGTTGCACCGATGCCTCTTTGGTTGTTTTCAGTTAGCAGAGCCAGGATGCCCACTGGCCAGATGTGCTGTCCCAGATGCCAAAATATCGGAGCTGTGTTGGCACCAGCAGATGGGCCCAGGCCTGAGCTGTGCATTCCCCCGATCCGATGTAAACTGGCAAAGCGTCCTAGAGAGTTCAGAGCCCTCTCTCCCCATCGCTGCAGGGTCAGGAAGGATTGTGGCTCTGCTAAACAAACACTTCATCATCCTGTCCTACAGCCAGGGGTACAGAACACATTGTTCGTGGTTTATACCATTGTAAACTTTTACAGGGTAGGCAAGAGGAACATTTCCAGTAAAATATCGAGATGCTTTCTTCTGCTCTTGGCTGGCTCTCGAGAAGGGCTTGGAGTGTTTCACAGTCGCTGATTTATGGGCGGCTTGATTTTTGTTCTCTCCCTCGCAATACGATTTAGCAACTTGCTCGGCAAACTTGAGTTGGCTCGGCGGGCCTCTGGGTCCAGGTTTTTCTAGCAGGAGAGGAAGGGTGGCAGTCCCAACGCCAGGGAACTGTGTCGTGGCGATGGCCACGAGTCTAGAAGACTTCAGAAAGGGGTTAGACACGCTCCGTTGGTGGCTACTAGCCATGGTGAGTGAAGGGAAGCTCCATACTTGGAAGCAGCAAACTTAAGAGGAGCCCTGCTGGATCAGACCAGCGGTCCCTCTAGTCCAGCATCCTGTCCCACACAGTGGCCAGCCAGTTCCTCTGGAAGTTCAACAACAGGGCATAGAGTTCAAGGCCTTCCTCTGATGTTGCCTCCTGGCACTCAGATTCAGAGGATAACTGCCTCTGAATGTGGAGGTTCCCCTCAGTCACCATGGCTAGTAGCCAGGGCTCTTTTTGTAGAAAAAGCCCAGCTGGAACTCATTAGCATAATAGGCCACACCCAACACCAGAAATTTATTAGCATATTAGGCCACACCCCTGCCAGCACAGCTCATTGGCACATTAGGACGCACCCCCATGTTACCAGAAGTGTGGTTATCCAGCCACACCTACCTTTTGCTTGTTATTCTGTTTACTTTGTTTGTTGTTAAAACCCAGGACTTTTTTTGTAGCAGGAACTCCTTTGCATGTTAGGCCACACACCCCTAATGTAGCCAATCCTAATGAGTTCCTGCTGTTGGGTGTGGCCTATTATGCTAATGAGTTCCTGCTGGGCGTGGTCAACTTGGGAGCCGGCCGGAACTCCGTTCCTGTGTGTTCCTGCCCAAAAATAGCCCTGCTAGTAGCCATTGACAGACTTATTCTCCATGAGTCTATCTAATCCCCTTTGAAAGCTGTCTGTGCCTGTGGCCATCACTACATCCTCTGGCAGGAAGCTTTGGAATGCCAGTGTTAGGAGGCAGCATCAGGAAAGGCCTGGACCTCTGTGCCCTGTTTGTTGGCCCACCAAGGCAGCTGGCTAGCCACTCTGTGACAGATTATGCCGGGCTAGATGGAACACTGGTCCTGATCCATTGGGGCTCTTTTTATGTTCTTAAGAGAGCACGAGGTCCGGTCCACGTGATATTTTCAAAGGTGTTCAGTGGGTAAAATGGCAAACGTGGCAAAGGCATCTGTAATCGATTTGGCCGTCATGTGCCCTCGTGTAAAAATAGAATTAGAATTCTGTACTGGAAACCTTGTGACCCAAAGACATGCTGGAAATTTGGAGGGGTGTGTGTGTCTTATTTTGAATAATTTATTCTGGAGAGGGGTCCAGGGCTAGGCAAGACACTGGATTCCAAGAAGCCTTGCTTAGCCTCCAATCAGACTGGAAATTTCATTAAGTGTGTTGCCTACACCCTTTCAGCATATCCACATTGATAAAATACGGTTGTCCCATCAGGCACCAGGCTGAAACATTCTTTTCCTCTAGTAGAAAAGAGCAAGAGTCCAGGAGCACCTTAAAGACTAACAAAATTTGTGGCAGGGTAGAAGCTTTCGGGAGTCACGGCTCACTTCTTCAGATACCACCAGTTCTTAATCTCTTTAAGCTGGTTTTCAGTCTTCTTCTGGCCTGAGGGCTGTTTCATTAATATCATTTTAGACTGCTCAGTGCTTGTTTCACATGGTTTTTGATGCCCTGGCTTGTTCTTAAGGGCTTTGTTTGATTTATAGTGGTTGAGTTTCAGTTTGTTTTGTTTTACTGTTTTAGTTGTAAGCCTAAACCTTGAGCAGGTCTCTGGAGAGGCAGCATATGCATTTCCCAAACAAATAAATATTTCTGTGTTGTTTTTAAATTATCTACTAAAAGAATTTATATCCCACGTCCCCGTCCTTATACAGATCCACAGGGTGGTATATACTCCAGTCAAAAATAATGTACACAAACAATAATAAATCAGGGAAGGGGAAAGCCATCTGACAATTCCAAACCCTAGTGGCAGTTCCATTAAAAAATACAGTTTGCCAAGAGGATAAACAGTTTTCAGTGCTGCTCAGGGCCATAATTTTACTGCTAAGGTAAAAGCCAGTGAGCATAATGCAGGTTCAGTTTTCAGCAAGGAAGGAAGGAAGGAATGATGGAGAGAAAGTGTTAAGTAAGGAAGGAAGGAAGGAAGGAAGGAAGGAAGGAAGGAAGGAAGGATCTGCCAAATGATCAGGACAGATATTCAGACAAATCTGTCTGGGGAGGGACAATAAGCCACCACAGAATGGGTCTTCTATATGGTAGCCATCCCCTGTGAACTTTAAGCACAACCTCATCTGGGAGAAATTGAGTTCTACTTACACCTCCCATTGAGCAGCTCCTTCCTTACCATACCTGTATCTTCAGCACTGAAATTTATTGAGAATAAACTGCTACTTTCAAGCACCAGGTTCAGGCTTTGTGTCTCACTTTTGTCATGTATCCGTTTCACTAGTACACTCGGGATGGGGATGGGGCTCCGTGGTAGAGCATCAGCTTTGCTTGTGGCATGTCCCAGGTATGATCTTCGGCAGTTAAAAGGACCAGGTAGCAGATGATACAAAGGCCTCTGTCTGAGACCCTGAAGAGAGACCGCCATTCATAGTGCAGAGCGTCAACCTTGATAGACCCATAATCTGACTTATCATAAGGCAGTTTTGTGTGTTCATTTTTATTTCCCTCCCCTTCCATGTGGCATATGTGATTCTCAGTTCCCCTGTTTATCCTTGTAACAACTCTTTAGAGCCAGTGTGGTGGCTCTAAAGAGAACTGTCCGCTCTGAAGCAGCGGACTCTAACCTAGAGAACCAGGTTTGATTTCCCACTCCTCCCCCACATCAAGCCTGCTGGGTGACCTTGGGTTAGTCACAGTTCTCTCAGAGCTCTCTCAGACCCACCGACCTCACAAGAGGCCTGTTATGGGGAGAGGAAGAGAAGAAGAAGAACAGAAGAGATGGGATTTATACCCTGCCCTTCACTACCCAAAGGAGTCTCAGAGCGGCTTACAGACTCTTTTCACTTCCCCTCCCCACAACAGACACCCTGTGAGGTCATCTTGCAGGTGCAAGTGGAGGCATGGGGAATCAAACCCGGTTCTCCCAAATTAGTGTCTGCACACTTAACTGCTACACCAAACTGGAAGGGAAAGGTGATTGCAAGCCACCCTGAGACTCCTTAGAGAAAAGTGCCCTACAAAAAGCAGCTCTTCTTCTTCTTCTTTGAGGTAGGTAGGGCAGATTGACAGAGGCTGACTCCAGGACACCCGTGAACTTCATGGCTGTGTGAAGGTCTGAGCCCAGGTTTTGCCCAGATCCTGGTCCAACCACACTGGCTCCCTACAGTGGCGTCTGCTTTGGCCATTGGGTTTGTTTAACCCATCAGGTGGAGATGGCAGTACGGGGCAGCCCATCCCAGCTCCTTCCCATCGCTCACTCCTCCTTGCCGGGCTCCTTCACTTAACCTTGGCCTCCCATTGTCGTAAGCTCCGGTATTAAGAAGTTCTTTTTAGCCACAGTTCCATTCCTCCGCCAGGCCGTGTTTCAAAGAGAGGCCCCATGACGGCATGCGCAAGTTATGCGTTTCCAAAAGGGGAGCTGGCACCCCTTGCCTCTGCTGCCTCTCTTTTTATCCTGTCTGGTTCAAAATTGCTCGGGTCCAGCAGGGTCAGTGTCTGTTTGGATGGCCGGGTTGCGGTTCAGCTATGGGTTGGCCTTCTTGTTACATTCACCACTGAGATATTTTTCTGCTGGGCTAAACATAGGCATTTCTCAAGAACCCCAAATGCGGCCTACTGTGTTTGGGTCCATTTAGTTTTCGCTTGTAGACTGTTCCTGGATGTGCGCTGTTCTTAAAGCATCTGGGTTTGAAACAGTGTGTGGGGGTGGTGGTGGGGGTTGTTTTTGGCTCTTCGAACCAAGGCACAACAAAGAACCACCCAAAATCTCTCTGTCTTCCCCTCGCAACAGGTGGTTAGAAGTCCAAGTCGATAATCTGACTTGCACTCAGCGCTGGGTCCAGTACCTCCGGTTGCTTCAGGAGTCGATATGGCCCGGCGGAGTCCTGCCAGAGGTGCCCAAGCCGCTCAGGACGGAAGAGCAGAAGGCAGAGGCGGAAAAGCAGGCCTTGCAGGTTCTCATGGGTATCTTGCCCGGTGAGTTGCCCACTTTGTGCAATGAGAGTGCAACAAATGAGTATTGCAAGCTACCACTTTAATCGAACATGATGGCAGAGAAGTCGGATGGCCACCCTAGTCTGAGAATCCCTGGTTTCCAGATATTAAGCTGTAATTTTTGAGTTTGATATGGTGGAATGAATTTCAGTGGGTACTGGGGAAAGCTAACATGACGACACGGGGAGGGGGGGTGATGTGGGACCCAGTTTATTAACTCTGTTTCATAAAGAGTCTCAAAGAGTAAAATCCAAGGCCATTTTTAGCTTTATCTGCAGCTATCTATAAGTTTCCATGTTGTACGTCCATGAGGGCTGGAAACTTGTTCGTTTTTAACGAAATGAGCTATTTAGACATTTCAGCATTTGTGTTGTTGTTTAGCAAGATGAAACGTGATTTGTGACCCAATATGGATGGATTTCAAACTCTGTAAGCATGGTTTAAGTCGTAAACTGTGAGTTTAAAGATACCACATTAGGCTTTTCATTATTATGGGGCGGAGCAGGGCTCTACTGGTAGCTGGAGCTCCTTTGCATATTAGGCTACATACCCCTAGTGTAGCCAATCCTCCAAGAGCTTACAGTAGCCCCAGTAAGAAGAGCTCTGTAAGCTCTTGGAGGATTGGCTACACTAGGGGGTGTGGCCTAATATGCAAAGGAGCTCCTGCTACCAGTAGAGCCCTGGGCGGTAGGGTGGAGGAGATACCATGTTCATCTTTTTCTAGGACCAAGATTTGGAAAAGCAGGATGTTTGGTTTGTTTTAAAGCTAGACTAAAGACCTGTATCCAAAAGGTGTCTTCATTCAAGAGTTATTTCACATTAGGTGGTATTTATCCCACCTCCAAATGCTTTCTTGGTATCCAGGGTAAAATTCCAGTATGCAATCTAAGACCCACTCGAGTCATGTTGTAAGGTCTGTCTTGTCCTTGGGACTCACACCAATCTCTGATGTCCTCAGAAATAATCCTAGAAATCCTTGGAATTGGTAAATGTCAAGAAAGCTGGAGCCTGGTGCTGGAATCCATGCAGCACCCCATCATAAACAGGTAAGCATGTCTGACTTGCATTGTTACAGGCCAGTAAAGAAACCTGTGCAGTGGTTGGTTTAAATAGTTCTTTTGGATGAAACTCCATAGGATTGGGAAGATTCAGTGGAATTTTGTGTTCTAATGAGAAATGTATAATTATCCCCAGAACAAACCTTGAGTCCAGTCGGCACCTTTTAAGACCAACAAAGTTTTATTCAAGTTATAAGCTTTCGTGTGCATGCACACTTCTCTGTATCTGAAGAAGTGTGCGTGCACGCAAAAGCTTATACCCTGTATACAAAATTGTTGGTCTTAAAGGTGCCACTGGACTCGAACTTTGTTCTGCTGCTTCAGACCGACACGGCTACCCACCTGAATCTGTCATTGTCCCCAGTGTGTACTGAGTGGTAAAGTTGCAGACATTATCTTCTAGAGCAGAAAGGAGGAGCGTAAAAGTGACAGGGAGGCTGGCATTGTGGGTACAGGCACCACACCCGAGTATCCCTTTGTCCTCAGTTCTCCGTGACACATTAGGCTCACATGCATAAGCTTTTTTTTGTGCAACTACAGCAGAGAAACGCTTCCCGTTTTCACACTGAGGCTGCGTTCTGGACCAGGTGGTAAGAAAAGTTACTTTTTTCCCACCACAGAGAACAATGGAGGGGATAGGGACAACCTGTCTGGAGGCCCGTAGAATTGAACCCCCTGGTCCAATGTTCTTTAGTCTTGGTTGGTATCTTGGGGAGAGGCTCCAGCAGCTACCCTGTGAGTTTGGAGCCTCTCCCTCAAACCCCCTCCCCTCCAGCCCCAAAATATACCCTATGTTTTCGCCATTGACTTCAATGGCCCATAGAATATAATGGGGCCGAATTGCCGCTGAAATCCAGCGGCAATTCGGCGGCAAGCCGATTCAGATCAGAGAATCTGAATCGGCCTGCAGCAGCCCAAAAGGGGTCCGAATGGGCCATTTTCGGGGGTGCATTCGGTTTGGACAAACCGAATGCACATCCCTAGTTCTTAGGCAGGAAGCTTTGGAGAAGACCTTTCTCTGCTTGAGACCCTGGAGAGCTACTGCCACTCAGAAGAAGAAAGAAGAGATTGGATTTATACCCCGCCCTTCACTCAGAGTCTTAGAGTGGCTTACAAACTCCTTTCCCTTCCCCTCCCCACAACAGACACCCTGTGAGGCAGGTGGGACTGAGAGAGCTCTTTCCAGAACTGCCCTTTCAAGAACAGTTCTGACAGAACTATGGCTTGCCCAAGGTCATCCAGCAGCTGCGAGTGGAGGAGTGGGGAATCAAACCCGGTTCTCCCAGATTAGAGCCCGCTCACTTAACAGAGTAGACAGTACTGAGCTAGATAGATCAGTAAACTACAGAAACTTGTAATGGCCAGTTCCATGGGCATACATATCAAACTTTCTCTTAATATCCTCTTTCGTCTTGTTTTCAGACACATGGTCTACTGTCTCTCGGACATCCTGTTGGAGTTTTTGATCCCTGAGCTCCAAGTAGATAAACCCCAACCAGCACCAGTAGGTGCTTCAGTCTGTGGCGCAACTGAGAGAGCTAGCTTTTCATCACACTAACTTGGAGTGGTGCGGCCAACAGCCAAGGAGAAGAGAATTCCAAAAGCATCGATTCCTCGATGTTGTGTGTCCACTGCATTGAGCCAAGGGCTGTTGGAGAAGGCCTGTGAGACGGAACATCTTCCAGCAATTGCTGGATCTACTTGTGGTCCAATGGTCTTGTCTTGTACTGTGAAAAAGTCTCCATTCCATAACTCCGGTGCAGTTCTCTGTTAGAAAATGCGTTCTCTTTGAAGAGATGAACAACCTGCTTAATAGGACAAGATTCCCGTTGACATTCCTGTGTAGGTGTAATGTAACATCCTGCATATTGTTTCCAACTGTGGTTTTCTTTGGGAGTTGAACTCTTGGTGCACACATAGATGGGCATTCCTCGTCATGATCTCTGTTGACATATATTTATAATTAAGAGAAAAAGGCGACTTTCCCTGTTTTAGTAAATAAACTTGTCCTCCCTCATTTGGTGCCTTGGGTAGTTGTTCTTGATATTCATGCAGTCCCTTCAGGCACGGAGCAGTACGAATCCCAGAAAAACCCATAGATCAGACCATTAAAAAAAACCATGTTAAATTAGGATGGTTTCTCCTATTTCTTAATATAGGGTGGCTGTAAAGCTGGAATCAAGGGAGGTAGGTGCTAGCAACCAGATCCAGTTGCATCCTAACTTGCACACAACTGAGAACTATTATCTGTTATGATTTGGTGAGTCACCTGTCTATGGATGCCACCACCAAAAAGGCCCTGCACTAGTAGTTCAAGTAGGGAGCTTTAACAGACAGTCTGAGGACAGGGAGACTGGTTTGGGGGAAAGTTCCCTAAGGGACACCTTGCCCAGGCTCTTTGGTGCTCAAAAGTATTAACCAGCGCTTTGTGTTGAGGTTGGCAGCCAACAGGCAACCAATGTAGGCATGCCAAAATTAAAAGTCACATACTTTCGGCTGCCTGGTCATGGACAGGAGGTCAGAGTTCTCTATCAGCTGGTGCTACGGAATCATCTTCAAAAAGCAGGCCCATGTAAAGAGCACATGTCAGTAAACTAAGCTAGGACAATAAACCAAACGAGAGCCAGATTCTGATTGGTGAAAAGAAGGACATGACGAGCTAGGTAGCACAACTCGAAGAGGAATGTGTTCAAAACGGGGGAGTTCAAGCCCCAAATTAAAACCATATTAATTTTGTTTGAACATGAGAACGAAACCCTATACGGCAAAGTGCTTGGGTCATATATTATTCCAGATTAGACATGCCACAGAAATCCATTACCTATGACTAAAATGAACATTTGCGCAACACATGATGTGATGATCACTGTGAGAGCCAAATTCCCTTCCATAATATCCACCCCGGGCTAGACTGGGCCATTTCCAGTATCAACAGCTTTAAGATTAAGCACTTATCCTCGCTCGGCGTATGGCGTAATTAATACCAGATCAAACTGGGAACTCTAGTCTTGGCACCGTTGCCACGTCTGAGAGGGTCTATCTGGTGGATTAGGGGTAAATCTAATGAGATTTCCCAACATGTTAAGACCTGGAGGCCTGGCCTTGGTAGGATATGCAAAGGCTATAGGTGGCAATAATATCTTAAGTGTAATGAAATATAATGGCACCTGCATCTGTTCTTAAGAGGACATTATATGAGGAAAGTTATCCCTTTCTAAGTGTTGGAATAGCCAATGTCTGGCGTACAAAGAAGAAGAGAAGACGACCCTAGAGGAGGCAGCAAGAGGAGAGTTGGATAGGATAGTGGGGTCAGCACCTTCTCTCCTGTCAAGTGCCATTCCTTGTCTGTCTCCAGATTGCTACTCTTTAGGGCAATATTCTGCTTCTTCTCAAAAATTCCACACCTCTCTCTCTCATCCACTGATGTGGCTAGGAACCCATCTCTGTCTCTACTCTTCGCTACGAAGTATATTAATTCCTGAATAAAGCTTCATCTTTAGACATTTCTGGGGAGGAGTGTGTGCAAAAGAGATCTTGGGGTAAGAGTGGACTGTAAATTAAATACGAGCAGTTAGTGTGATGCAGTTGCAAAAAAAGGCAAATTCAGTCTTGGGTTGTATTAAAAGGGCCATAGCATCGAAATCGCAGGAGGTCATAGCCCCTCTGTATACTGCCTTGGTCAGGCCACACCTGGAGTACTGTGTGCAGTTTTGGAGGCCTCACTTCAAAAAGGATGTGGACAAAATCGAGAGGGTGCAGAAGAGAGCGATGAGGATGATCAGGGGTCTGGAGACTGAACCCTATGAGGAAAGGCTAAGGGCCCTGGGAATGTTTAGTTTGGAGAAGAGGAGATTGAGAGGGGACATGAGTGCTCTCTTTAAATATTTGAAAGGCTGTCATTTGGAGAAGGGCAAAGAGCTGTTCCAGTTGGCAGCAGAGGATCATAGGACCCGAAGCAATGGGTTTAAATTACACGCAGAAAGGTATTGGCTGGATATTAGGAAAAACTTTTTTCATGGTCAGAGTGGTTCAGAGGTGGAATCAGCTGCCTAGAGAGGTGGCGAGCTCCCCTTCACTGATGGCTTTCAAGAAGAGGCTGGATGAATGTTTGTCAGAGATGCTTTAGGCTGGTCCTGCATTGGGCAGGGGGTTGGACTAGATGGTCTGTATGGCCTTGTCCAACTCTATGATTCTATGATCTACATCTATGATCCTTTGTCTCACCCACTTGTACCTTGCCCTGCACCTAAGAGCCTCTGGTGATCTTTCTACCTTTAATCAGATGTGCTTAGTTGGGCCAACACAAAATCCATTGAAGTCAATGGACTTAGAAGGGGGTAACTCTACCTAAGCTTGCACTGTAAAACTCCTGCCATTTTATCATCCAGGCAGTGAGAGTACAGGCCAGAGACTAAGTTGACCAGTTTGGATGAGACATGCAGCGGGTAAGCAGGATTACACCTGCCTGTCCCTCCAAAGGGCATGAGTGTCTCCAGGCTCTTGCAGCAGATGTAACATATGCAGATGTGATATTCCCATTGGCTTGCAAGGCAAGAGCAGGCTGCTCACTCAGGTTCCTGCTCTTAGGTTCGCACAGCGACAGGAGTGTTCAAAACAACATTTGTTGCCCTGACCTGGATAGCCCAGGCAAGATGTCATCAGATCTTGGAAGCTAAGCAGGGTTGACTCTGGAAAGTACTTAGATGGGAGACCTCCAAGGAATACCAGCAGTCAGGAGGCGGGGGCAGGCCACCTCTCTGAATATCCTCCAAGCCCCCAGAATATCCTTCCAGGCACACACACACATTCACCAGAGGTCACCATGATTTCCAGGTGCACACATACACAGGCACATATGAAAAATACAAAAAAAAAGTTTATTAGCAAGGAGGAGATACAAGGATGGGAGCGAGCGATTTCAGGACAAGAGCACTCGTGCAGTCGGCAGTTCTAACTGTAAGGAACAAATACCCAACTTACAGAATTCTGGGTCTGAACCCTATAAGATCTATCCTAGTAAAGTCTCGCATCATTTATACACATTGTACTGAAACAGGCACAACATTTCATAAAACAAGCAAGTATTGGGTAGGTGAATCAATGGGAAGTAATATGAGCATTTATACAGGGAAACATTCCTCCCTAGTTGGTTCATTTTTTTCTGTCCTGCACACTCACCAGTTTGGTACTGGAAGCGCTGGATTCCGTAATGGGAATTAAAACACCTAAACTTGGCATCATGCACAGCATCTGTGCAATGGCTATTAAACCCTTAAAGGCGACAGTCTTTCCAACAACCAGCAGCTTAACACTGCAAAATAATTCAGGGAACTAGCAGCCCAGCTCTTAAAGCAAGCAGCATTAAGAGGCTTCCGAGGCTGCTGTTGGGCAGATAAAAGAAAACTGAAAGACAAGTGAGCGTTTAAGTAGCTTTGGGTGTCACAGTCCACCTCGGGGGGCCTTGTCCCTTTGTACAGCTTCAGCAATTAAAGTCAGGGGTTGTTTGAAGAAACCTGCCTGAAGACTCCTCCTTCCCTTTTCTCCAAGCCCCTTCCGTTCCCTTCCTCTCGTTTCCCGAACCAGGCAAAAGAGCGGTCGAGTATCACTTGACCAAAGAAATCTCCCTTCCTGTTCCCAAGCCTCTTTTTGGATGGGGGGGGCCCCCTCAATGGCCGTTCTTAAAAGAGGACAGAAGTGGAGGAAGATCAAAGACCATAAACATTCTATTTTTTTCCCCCAAGGCCTAGCAAAGCGGACCGATTTTCACTCAAGGACCAAGCCTCTCACAGAACTTCCCCGGTAATGGGCCTCCCTCTTGGCCATTCTTTTTTCCCCCTTTTAAAATCAACAAAGGTCAGCAAAGTGGGCCATCTCGACTGAAGATGGCGGAAGGACGGATGCTTGTCTGCCTTGTGTGTTTAGCGCAAAGGACAAGGTCCCAGCTGTTTGCTTGCCAAGACGGGCCTTTCTGTGTAGCCATTTCACATTTCCAACCAGATGGGATGGAGCACTTGAAACCTCAGTGCTCTTTATTTGCGAGCTTTTAATTTCCCCCCCATTCTCTTCTGCTAGAGTCTCTGGTCCCTCTGTGGTTCATTCACGCCCCCTTCTGCTTCTACGCTTCTTAATTTTTTTTATTATTATTTGGATCTGTGAGAAAGGCGATTTAATCCCCTTGTACTGCAGATTAAGTCTATTATAGCTGCCCTGGCCCTGACATTTTCTCAGAGAAGTGCACAGCTGGGACCTTGCAAGAGCTTTCCAGTATCTCCACTTCTGCTTTTATTTGTTGAACACAGAACATCCAGATGTGACCTTTTCCTCGACACAAAATCACACCTATAGGCAGAGACCCGCGTGATACACACTGTTAAGAGCCGTGCAAAAATCGACAAAGGAGAAGGGTGCGCGAGGGGACGGAAATGGACCAGAGCAAGCGGTTAAGACCTGGGTCTTGGACTCCAAATCTCTGAAGTGTGGACTTGGTGGGTGCTTGAAAACAGATGGGGATTTTGTATTTGCTAAGACCGGAGTAAATTACTATGTAGATGCACTGTCTTGATATACATTAGATCTTTTCGGAAGGCCAAAATCCTTCATACTTTCTGCATATGGTCGATCTAGAAGCCCTAGCCTCCTCCATGGGCCCTGTCTGTCTCCTGTGTTAGGGAGAACATATACTGGTTGCTTTTCCTGCTGTCCTGACTCTCTGCGGCGGTAGCATTGCCGACCTTCAGGTGGTGGCTGGAGATCTCCTGGGATTACAACTGATCTCCAGGAGACAGAGATCAATTCTCCTGGAGAAAATGGCCACTTTGGAAGGTAGACTCTATGTTGTTATACCCGATTGAAGTCCCTCCCCTTCCCAAACCCCGCCCTCCTCAGGCTCCACCTCCAAAACCTCCAGATATTTCCCAACCTGGAGCTGCCAACCTTATGTGTCAGAGGGTTGTAAACATGGAAATAGTGTCGTATCTGGTGTGGATACCCTGCTGTTCTCCATCCAAGTG